AGCCAGCAGGAGGCTCTCTTGTGCCCCAGCCAGCTGGCTCAGCATCTCCACACGCATTGCTGTGCATGAAAAAACGCTGCAGCAGGATAGTACTTGTATTTACAAGTATTAACCTGCTGCAGAGTTTATTAGTTTCCTAGTAGGAGCACATGTGTAGATGTCAGGATGTTTACTGCAGAGCTAATTAGGCAACTCCACAGTAAACCTTCCATGTATATGTGCCCACTGAGTAATACTTGCTGCCCAACAAGGTGTAATTCACAACTTACTTGAAAAGCAGAGCTCCTTGTGACCCTGTGGGAGAGGCATGTCTGAGAAAGGTTGGCGAGTGCCTGTTTACACTCCAGGTATTCTGGTGGGTTTGCAGAGAGGGGATGGGCAGCTCTTCTTCATGATATTATCAAGCCCAAATGATAAAAAAAAGAGTCAGGTACCAAACCCCCCCCCAAAAAAAAATAATGTTAGAAAATAAATCTGAAGGGACCTTGGGAGGTCACTTAGTCTATCCTCAAGGCAGAACCAATGCAGCCACATACCCAAATCATGACACTTATTTTTTGAATGATACATTTTGGGGTTCTTTTATTTGCTCCCTAGTTTCTAAATCTTTAGTGGTAGCTTGATGATACATTCAAATGTCCCTCTGTAAGCATGAAGGATAAATTATTATGTTTTTAAAAAGGAAAACTGATTGTTTCACATATCCACTCATCTCCAGAAGCAGTGGATTCAAGTAAAACTTTAGCTTGCTATGAACCCATAAGATCTGGGAACAATGGCATGGTTTACTGGAGGAATTGGCTCTGGAAAGCTGCTGACTCAGTTCCCTCCGATCATCTACCTTATACCCACATTATCTAGTCCCCACCGGATGCAGAATCAATCCTTTCAGACTTCTTCTTAGACCTATAAGTAATATTATTTTGTGCTGCTGTAACTTGGTTCTCTGGCAGAGAATTTGGCCCTGAGAATATAGTTAAAAGGTCTCGTAAAGGGGAAATGGTAATAACACATTAATAAATAGTAACCAGTCAGTCTCCTATTATGTGCATATGTCATGGTCTATGGATAGTAAGTGTTCATAAAAAGAGAAAGACAATGAAGAAAATATCCTTGTCATGCAGAAAAGTGCTTTATTGTAGTGAAATCATGCTGGAATAAAACTAGAAAAAGTTGTTCATCTCATAGTTCAAGATTACTCTTAACCAGAGATCAGAGTTAAGTGCTATCAAAATAGAAGTTGATACATATAACAACAGACTACACTTCCAGTCATTTTTATATTTATAAAGTTAAAAGGACACTGCCAAGATGGGTTTTTTATAATTAAACCCTACAGGAGGTTATAACAAGGCTTGAGTCAGAGAAGTTGATGTACAACATTTTAAATTTAATTATTCAGGAACTCTAAAATGGAGAAAATATTCCTTCTTTTCTTCCACCCTCTGCTTTGTCTATTTAGGTGGTCAAGGCTTCAGGGCAGGAATCCTTTTTTCCTTATGTAGGGACTTAACAACATTCACATGGCCCTGACTGAAGTTACATAATGGTAAGTGATAAGGCAACTATGATAACCAACAAAGAGGGAGAATTATTGTTGAGGGAACAAATCAAGAAAATGCTTCCTGATGAGAAAGGACAACTTTCTAACAGCACGGTCTGAGAGACCTGGAAACAGTTGCCCCAGGAAAGTGGGGGAAACCCTATCACTTTGCGGCACTGAAACCCAAGAGGATTTCTGGACATAAGGAGCAGTACTGCATTTAGCAGAGGGTGGGAAAGGACTGAATGATAGAAGAACTCATTTCCATCTCTAACATCTCCAATCCTGATGAACTGTCAGCCTTTAAAGACATTTAAAAAAAAAAAAAAGAGTAACAATTAGCGAAGCATTGAGTTAGAAGGAAACAAATTTATGAAGTGACCACATGGAGCCTATATACCTAAATAAGAGAAAAGGAAGCTGGGATAAGTTTTGAGCCTCCCAGCTTTGAACATGTACCTTTAAGTATAGAACTACAACACTGTTTATCACACAACTCTTGCATAGATTTTCAGCCCAATATATTATGTACAACATATACAATTTTTTCTATATTATAATATACTATATTATAATATACTAAGAGAACATGCTAATGTTGGGCAGACGCTTGCTTCAGGAAAGCTTTACACAAAATAAGTATTCCTGCCAAGCTAGCTTATTCCTGGCCCTTTTAAAGTGTTATGGATGATGAGCAAGCTATCCATTTTTACAATGTTTACTAGTCTGTGGTGTTGCAAATGAACAGACTATCTAAACATAGGATTCCTTAGCATACTGGATCTGGTCAACATCAAAGATGGGCTGGCTGCACCGTCGAATCAGATATTCTTGTTTGTTCTTTTGATAGGATTCAGACATGGCTCTTAGACGATAAACTCGAGGGGTTACAGGTAAACTTGCCCGGGCATTGATCCCAACAGCAATGTCAATGGTTTCAGTTTGTGCCTGAAAATCCTTTACCATAGAAAGTCTGTCACTGAGTAGGTCCTTCTGATCTGTTGTATCCTCCTTATAGTTGAGACGTGGATGAGATGTTAAAGAATCTTTATCTGACATACTTGATCTCATGGTTTGAACCGTTAAGCTACTATATGGAGGAACTTTAGCTGCCAGGCAGTTTTTAGTTGCCTCTTCATAAGATGGGGGTTTGCCAGGATTCTTCTGGTCCACTTCTCTAAATACCTCATCAGCTGACCTGAAATGTGACCTCTGTTGATGCTGTGCAGGCAATGGTTTGTCATCATCAATACAGTTTTCTTGGACTCTTCTGCATGAAAACTGTTTTTCCTTCTTGGAGTCCTTCTTGAAGCTGTCTCTCTTGCGGGTTGCAAAAGAGAATGACATGGAATGTTTTTTGATCTCTCGGTTGGGTGTACTGCTTTCCTCTGCAGTCTTTGTGGAAAAGGACTGGGGTCTATTTAAGATGTTTCTCTTGGGGCTGGCAGGAGAAGCTAATGGTGAGCTAGTAAAGACAGAACAGTCAGAACTGGATAAGGAGCTATCCAGCGAACCACTGGAAGATGTTTTGGGTAGAGAGTCTGATGGCAAGTTGGTTTTCACTTTTAGATTTAGTGGCTTTTTATTCCTATACTGGCCTCCAGGAAAAACATGTCCTGGCAGTTGCTTTTCAAGTTCTGGTTCCTGAAATACCAGCTGTTCCTCTTGGGTGGTGAAGCTGTCCTCGCTTTTAGTCAGCTTCTGGCTCCTTATCCTGCCTTCGGGCCAGTCTTCAAAGGGCATGTCTGGCTCTGAGAATCGTCTGTCCATTGAGCTGATGAGCTTTTTAAAAGGGACAATGGAAAAGGCAGAGGGGAGTAGGCCCCGTGGTCGATGGCACTGTAGCTCTCTGCTACTCAAGCTTCCTGTGCTCCCTTCGGTCTGCTGGAGCAGGTCAAGCTGGGAGGTGCTAGAATGACATTCAACCTCGGGATCTGGGCTGTCATAAGCAGAGTCATTTTGCTGAGTTGTAGATATTAGTTCTGTGGGAGAGAAAGAGAACCTGTTAGTTTTTGCATGGTGTGATAAGTCCTATTTGAAAATAAGCTCAACTTTGATGGATGGGCTGATTTTTATTAAGTCACAGGCCTAGGAGCCCGATTCTCAGAGGATATAAACAGACTTCACTGGAAAAATTGCAGTGCACAACATCTGAGAATAAGCTCGTAGCTTCTGAAGAGTTCTTATCTGACAAATTTAGGGGGTTCAATTATTTAGGAGTTGGTGTGAGATAGCTCCCTTTGAAAGGGAACAGCATGGACTTCCATCCCTTCCCACTCAGCAGTAGGCAAGCCAGGGTCACAGCACCATTCCCTCTTCCTGAGCTGCCAGTGATGAGAGGAGCCTAAGATCCTTGCAGAACCTCGTGCCTAATTTCTACCAAAGAATTTATATAGAGGAAGGTTCCTGACATCCCCTCCCTCTTTTACTACTGTACAGGGGCAGGTATAATCTGTCCCTGAATGTCGCTCAGCCTTAAGAAGTGATCTCAGCAGGAGCTACACCAAGAGTTGAGGGCAGAATGTGGACCACTAGGAGGGCATTTCATGATCATTATGGACTCAAAACTATGAGTTGCTGAGCCCTCCTGTGAATTGATGGCAGGTCCATTAACTTAATTGGGAGTTGAGGACACTCAGCAGGACCATGCCGCTCTATGAGAGCGTGGTGATGTTATTATTATATAAATTGCAGGAGCAGCAAGTGCTTAGCATTTGGAATGAATCCAGTCCTGTTGGCTACTGTTACCTAAGTGGCTCCCTTAGCATTTTGAACACATTCAGTTAAAACAACATTGTAATGTTGTGTCAGGTACTCAGCATATCTCTGTGCTGTCTCTGAAATCTTAATATGGTAAATACAATGAAGCTTCAAGAACTTGAAAGAGTGGGTCTAATAGACCAATATATGAAGTCAGACAGTCCATTATAGTACCTGTAGAGCTGTCTGTGCATTCCAGTGAATCATCGGGTGATAGACTGAGGAGTGAAGATATTTCATTTCCAAATATTTCAAAGCAGTTATCAATGAGGAATTCCACCAATGCCTTCACCTGTGCAAATGAGACAATTTGTTTCTTTGTTAAGTGAGCATTTGAACCAATAGTTTCACAAATGTCATTAGTTGTTGTCTTGTTTTGCAATTTAAAATGCAACTTAACTCTTTTAATCCAAAGGGTCAAAAGGAAAGGTTTAATATCTAACACACTTTCACACTGCTGAGCACTGCTTGGTATATAAAACTGTAGCAGTTGTGGTTGTTATTACATTAAGGTAAGTCACTGCATTATAGAGAGTTCAATGCAGTAGGTAGCAAGGTATCTTTGAAAAGCACTGTGCTGAAAGATGAAAGGCTAGCAGAATTGAATTAGCCATGGGACCACTTTGGAACATGGGTCCTGAAACCACAGATATGTTGATCAGCCCAATATATACCTGAGAAGACTTTAGCTTCAACTGAAAGCTCAAATAGCACACATGGAACTTTGACTTGGTATGTATATCATATATCAACATCTATCTATCCACACACACCCCCCCCCCCCCCCCCCCCCCCCCATATTGTATGCAGGAGTTAGAATGTCACCAGAATGAAATGTAGGCTAACCCATTGTTTGTACCATGTTGCTGATTCCCAAACATCAGTTCAGGGTGGATTCTTAGATATTTAGTGGTGTTGTTTCTTTTGGAATTTGCAAGGAAATAATAATGATAACAGACTTCAAAGGGAATATTACAACACTGGTGGGTAGCCCAGGAATGAAACTCAACTAACCTTGTCATTCATCTCTTTCTGGACTTCCAGTGGTAGGGTACTGTTACGTTGTGGATTCAGCATGTTGGGACCAATGCAAATAGCAAGATTGCTGGCATCCATCTTGTTGACCTTAGAGTGTTGGCTGATGCGATGAAGTACCAGGACCAAATGCTTGAGTAAGAAGAGATTTGGCCTTGGTAGTTTGTCTGCCACCCTAAGTAAATGTGAAAAATGTAAAATTAATTCAGGTTACAATGTTTCTTTATTTGAGCAAGTTTTGATGAAGTTCATGCAGATAGAACTTCCTCCAGAAAGAGGAAGGATTTTTTTTTAATAAAACCGTTTTACAAATCTACCATTCAGAAATCCCCAAAAGCAGCTGACTGTCTGGCTAACCACAAGGTCCTGACCAGAAAGCAAAAATAACGATATTTTATGTTTTAAAATGAATCAGTGAGCATTGTTGATAAGTCACATACAATTGAGATATATTACTGGAGTTTTTTTCATAATACCAATGACATTTAGCATTTAAAATTCTACAGTCATGTTAGGTAGCTTTAAAGTTATTCCATATCAATCAGCTTGTAGCTGCAGTTGATAGTTTGCTATTTTCTTCGTAAGAACTCTTGTTTTCCAAGGACCAGACTCAAAGCCCACTGAAATCCCGACTCCAAGTCACTGTGCACTTTAATCTATAGCTTTAATTGCCAAAATATTGCAAGTCTGTTTGTTCGTTATTCTAATAATCTCTCTCAAATATATAGAAGAAGAATTTCAAATATATCTAAGAAGAAATGTGGCTCAATGCCATCTTCACTCCAAATTAAACATGGTAGGAGATGTATCAACTTATATAAATGACAAAAGTGTAAACGAAACTATAAATTTCTAAGACGAATGCACTCTCCCTATCAGTGGGATTGGCTGAAAAACTTACTCTTTTACTCCTTCAATTTTATCCTCATGGCTCAGCTTCTCTAAGGCTGTCATCCACTCATCATAAAGTTCAGATGACAGCAGATTATGTGGAATATTTCGGAGGAAATCCTGCAAAGAAAAGATCTTTAGATAAGCGTTTGGAAAATATGATTCATATGAGCCTCCCTGTACTGACTCAGCATAAGACTAATCAGTTTTAGCTACATGATATGTGTATACCTGTTTACTGCTAGAAACATACATGTGTGGACCCAAAGGATGTCAACCCCAATTTGCTCATTCTTATTAGAAAATGACTGCCAGAGCTAAAATCAGCTGAGTTTACCTTAAGAACCACTGCTAATAGATGCACAGTTTTGCTTTCCAAGGCAACTTCTACACCTGAATTCAGTTCTTCCTTTAACTCCTTGCGTGCTTTTTCATTGGCAGCTTTTCTGAATATTCCTTCAGTGAAACATCCTTTAAGGTATAGTATATTAAGAATATCCTACAAGAAACATGAATAGAGAAAAAAGAGGAACTGTTACTTTATTAAGGACAAGTCACAGAAAAGGTAAGCAGTTTTATTAAAGATAAAGCATGTTTTAACTGGGAGCTACACTGTTTGTAAAGCAGAGTGCTATGTAGTGCTTGCTTACAAGAGGGTATGCTTTAAAGGGCCTGGTCTTCCTCACACAAGCATTAGTTTTACACCATGGTGTGAACTTTGCACCTGAACTCTTTCTCTGTAGTGTGTCAAACCAAGCCTCTCTGTCCTCCTGAACTTCACAGCTAGAACTCATGAATTTTCTTCCTTTTGGAAGAAGTTTAATTTTTGTAGTCATTTAAACAGTTGCTTTACAAGTCCCTTTGCAGACTCCAGTTCTCATTGAAGATGAGGTACCAGGCTTTTTTAGAGTACAGGAAAAGTCCCAATGGCTATCATCATTATTATTTGTACTTTTCATCAATAGATCTCCAAGTACGTTACAGGGGAAAGTAGCATCATCCCCATTTTACAGGTGGGAAAGCTGAGGTACAATGACACAAAAATGTGATTTCCTCCGGGCCTTCTGCAAACTAGGAGCAGAGTCAGGAATAGAACCCAGCTCTCCCCAAAGTCAAATTGAAATGAAGTATTCAAGCAGGGCTCTCCAGGGATTGTTCTGGGTCCAGTACTGTCCCAGGTCCCACGCCAATGCTCTAGTTCCAATATTAAAATTCCTTACTTTACAATCAGGAAGTACAAAATGGCTATGCCACCCAGCCACTTGCTCACCTGAATTGGTTTAGGGAGTGTGTCATTCTCACCACAGATGATTGCCAGAGGCTGACCAAACAAAGAAATCTTTAGGTCAGATTCTGTTGATTCGGAGGATTCTGATATGCTGGAGCTCCATCTCAGCATGGAGGGCCATGATATAACCTTCTTTCTTTTCTTATTACTATCTGGTGCAAAAAAAAGCAAAACAAAAATAAGGAAAAAATGCCAACACAAGAAAGCTCTTACATGTATACACACATCACTCACAAGATGACATATACCAGGAAGAAATGATACATAATGTGCATTTGAAAGCTCGAACTAAACAGAGCAAAACTAAACTAAAAGATAGCTAAGGCGTTACTAAGGAAACATAACCTCTAAAAAACCTCTAAACTAAAACTGTGACAAGTCCTCCAAAGGCACCACCTTTCCTGTTTTTATGTCACTGTTTCCTCTTATCTTAGAACATTTAGAGTGGGAACACAGAGCGCACAAACAATGTCAGAGACATTTTCAGCATTTAGGCTTGTGTGATAATTACGTCTGTGCCAGGTCCGCAGTCTGCAGAAGTCAGAATTTTCCTTCTATCCGCTATATTTGATCCCACTCAATGTCCATTTTAGTGGAACAGCACATTTGGGAAATCCATCTTTTCAGCATCGGACAAATTATTGGCTATGAGAACATTCTTTCATATCCTTCACTTCAAGGAAGTCAATGGCCCACGCCTATTGCATTAGCGCTCCCCAAGTATCATGCTATGAACCTTCATGCATTAACAGGAATAGACCTTTTCAGTTTGGGAATGGGTAGCTCAGATCATCTGCACATGCTGTCTCTGGCTTGCTGTATTACAACTATGGAGATATGTCACAGGGTCTCAACCCTCTGTGGCAACCAGGTTCCACTTGTGTTCATGTCAGCTTCAAACCTTCTTTCTTATGCTTTAGAAAAACAAATGCTGTGACTCAGTGAGCTAGAACTCTTGCTATAAGACTTTGCTAGCCAGCCACTTGCCCTGGTGTATAAAAATATCACGCCCTGCCCTTATCTGCTTGAGGTTCAGAAATCTCTCAGGAATGGATTTGAACTTGGATCTTACATGTGGTGCCATGCTGCAAATTTTAAGAGCATCATGAACTGTATGTTATTTTTTTCCCCAAATAATATAGCAACTGCATTATATTATTGCAGTGTTTTTTAAACAAGTTGCCATCTTCGCAGACTTGGTACCTTGCAACTCCAAAATGGGTACTTTGTTATGTGAACCAGTACTCAACAAAACTTGCACTTTGTGGCTCACCACAAGTCACTGATCGCAAACTGTTAAAATCAGTAATAATGTCACATGATGTGATACTCTCACGGATACCATCAATCAACAAGAAACTTGGTTTTTCTGCTTCCGATGCTACTGCAGCCTGAAGATGTCATGACCCATTGTACAAATTCAGGCCTGTTCCTGATAAACACACACACAGGTCTGTCCCACAAAAAATTCTACATACAAGTGTTTATATGTGGACAGTCATGTCGCTGGGGTCACCTAACCCCAGTTGTCTTCCTGCCTAAAGCGGGGGGGCTGGACCCGATGATCTGCAAGGTCCCTTCTAGCCCCTAACAATCTATGAATCTATAAGGTCAGAAGCTTTGAGGGATGGAAGGAAATACATCTGCAGTTTCTACTGTGCCCAGGGCTTATCCATGGTTGCTTAAAACATCAGCAAAACCATTACGGATATTTACAAAAGCAGCCTGTGAGGCTAGTCGCATGAGTAATGCCCAAGCACATGAGTGAAGGCTCAAAATCTGGCTGCAAGGAACAATGAGTTGAGTGCCACCTATGGTCAAAAGAGCAATAACAGTAGCTTTAGGTAAGAGGAGGTGGCAATATCCTGTATTTTAGTGATATATAATATATTTAAATTTGTTAAGTGAAGGAAGCAGCTAAAGATGTGCAGAACAATTGGCTCACAATATTTCTTTTGGAGGAGAGTTTCTTTTCAAAACTTACCAATCAGATGGCAAAGCCCATCTTCACTTTCATATGGTACCAAAAGCTGGCATTTCTTGATGTCAGCCTAAAATAAATGGTTATCAGTTACAAAACTGCCACTTACTGATAAAAACAATAATCAAACCACATCTGGAACTCAAAAGATGGTGATAAACTTTATGTACAAGAAGAAGACAGTAAAGCATTGAAATAATTATCTCTAGAATTACATTTAATCTCTCTATGACATTTGGAACAGACAGTCTAGGTTGCAGCAAGGAACATGGGAACTGAGGTGCAAATTGTCTGCAAAATTGAGTAGTATCAAATGCTTCTGAGGATTCTGTAAGGCCCTTACACTATGCAGATATGGACTAATCAGCCCCCAAATTCGTTCTCATTCTGATCTCTAGCAGTTAAATAATGGCTTATGCCCTGAACCACAAGTTTTATTATCCCTTCCAAGCTTGTGTTCCCATTAGTGATGATATATCTCACTCTTCTTGATATCCATAAAGAAGTCCAATCTCTTTCTGCATCTTGCTCTAAATTCACTTTAAATATGTTTACTTTTTTCAGAAGTGGTTCAAAATTAAGTACACATTAAACAAACAAGATGCAGACCCTCAGCTGGTATCAGTCAACAGGCCCCTCTGTCAGGTGGGCCTGCTCTGTGACCATCTGACTCCAGGTCTGTTGGGGAATTACACATCAATATACAATAGGAATTTTTTACTGACTGCTTACCTCTGATCTGCACTCAATCAAAGCCTCCATGGTACTGACATTTAGTGTTTTTGACTAAGGAAAAAATAAAACAGAAAACCAACTGTGAGAAATGCTATTTTTAAAAACCTCCATGTAAAAAAATTAATATATTGACTCAACAGGAGCAATAATGACACTTACTGCATTGCAACTGCTTAACACCTTCATTAGGAATTTAGCTGAAGGAACTTTACTGATTCTCGTTCCTTTGGCTTCTTGTGTTTGCCTATACAGAATGAATGGACAAAGAAATAAGTATTACAGGCAGTAATATTTAGCTAGTCTTTTATCTCTCTACTACAAACCTATAACATTTAAAGCTTATCTTGAAAAAGAAAAGGGCTCCTTTCAAGTTAATTTCTTTATTCAGAGCTCATCATAAAACACTGTTAAATTGAGACTGTCTGTAATGCATTTAGTTCAACAGCTAGAGCTGCATCTTTCTTTCTCTCTTTCTCTCTTTTTAGAAAAAGAAAAAGCTTTTGGTTTTCAGAGCATTCAATGAACAGTTAACAAACGCTGACAGCTTAGATCACCACAACAAAACCAAACATAATCTCGGTGCTGATTTTCAAATTCAGTGCTACATAACTCAGTCCGCTGTGCAGTTACATTCAGTAAAGCGAATCCTCCCCCAGCACATATTTCTTTAGATCATCTAAATATATTGTGGTACATTAACATTAGTGTTGACTGTATATATTCAGTTCAGAGGCAGTGCAGGGCTTACCAGAGGATTGTATCCAGCCAGAGTTCTTTCACCTCAAGTGAACTGTTGAGACAAAAAGAAACAGCATGACGCTCTGCTGCTATTATTCCAGTGGAGAGACACAGGGCGACTAACCCGTCCTACCCACATGCGCTGCATTATAAATGGAGAGTGGGGGCAGGTGGAAAGTCAGAGAAGAGACAGGAAGAAGCGTCATGGGTCTCTATATGCAGTAGCATATAGAGACTCTCTTACAGAGGCTTCAAAATTTAGGCTTCCTCTTTCCTTTTAGGGCTACTGCTGCCGTTTTTTTTTCCCTGTAAGAAAAAACCCCCCCTGAGAGATGTTTTGTACGGAAAAGATGAGGTGTGTAATAGGTAAACGTTCCGTGTTGTGTCATTATCATCAGGTGGGATGTGTGAAAAGCATGCTGCCATGTAGTGTGTACAGATGAACTTTTTAAAGGGCACTTGGTGCACTCTGTCATATGACCACCTTAGCAGCATACCCTACACTTTTGCAGCTAAAGGGATAGTGTGACATCAAATGTAACCTTATATTTAGGCTTTTTGAGCCAAACTGTGCATTCTTTTTTAAAAGCTACAAGCTATTTATAAGCAATCCCAAACTTTGAAATATTGGGATCGTGCTAGAGAAGCTAAAATTGACATCAGCTGGACACTGATTACAAATGTATGTGAAATATATTAGACAATCTGAGGAAAACTCAAAAGATAAGCATGCTGAGTCAAAAGCAAAAGGTAAATCAGATGTTTAAATGTTTTGCTGTTTTTATAAATAGGATCTCTGCATTTATTAATGGCATCAATAAGGAAATAAGTTTGACATAAACATATTTAAACAAGCGATTTGAATTTAGCCAAAGAAAAGTCAAGAGATTGATGTGAAAGCTGCTTCTTTTTTACCTTAACAGAAGCACCTCTGTGTAATAAGTCGAGTTTAACACTGTGTTCTTCTGTGGCCTTGGGGAAGCCACTTAACTTGTGTGTCTCAGGCCATGGGCACATGAATAGTCACTGTGAGATAAAGAGGATCAGGATTTACAGCTCATCCGCTACTCCATGGTAACTGCCATGTGCATGCTGTTATGTCACAGTCAGTGAAAGCTAGCATGCAGAAGCTTACCTCCCCTGCTTTGTGTCCTCTCCTGTTGAAGCTGGGCCACTCTGCAGCCAAGAAAACCTAATTCATGGGGGCATAAAAAGGGGTTGGAGAGTGACTCCAGGCTGAGGAGAGCTGAGAGCCCGTGTCTCCCACTTCCTGGGTGACTGCTATAATCAGTAGGCTAGTAAAAAGAAAGTAAGCAGCTGGTGACAGCTGTGTTTTAAAAGACTAGAGCTCCCCAGTCACCCCTTCATGGCACTGAAGTCTAGGTGTGGATTAGGAGCTGTGAATCCCAGCCATGCATGGACACCTAACTCAGGGCTGCAGCCTAAGTGCCTGACATAAGTAGTGCAGTCTAAGTCTGGTTGAAGGGTGGGATACCAGGTGCCCTCCAGCCCTATTAGCTCCCTTACACAGCTGCCTACTTAGTCCTGGAGCAGGGTGCCCACTAGGGGTGTGCAAAGCGAGCCCTATTCACTTTGGATTCAGCCTGAATCAGGGACAGTGATTCGATTTGTTGATTTGGATCACTGTCCCTGATTCAATTAGGCCGAATCCGAATCTCAAGATTCGATGCTGATTCAGAGAATCAGCAATTCGGACACAGACACAGCTTTAAATGCTTTTTTCTACATACCTCAAGGTATCAGCGCGGCCTGTGAACGCTGCGATGCTGGGGCAGATGGAGTGTCCCACAGGAGTGCGGGAAGGGTCCCTCTATATGCTCAGCGATTGGCTATGGGGGGACCCTGGGTGCCTCCCCAGACCCAGGAGGCACCAGTCGCTGAGCTGGGAGGGTGCAGGGAGACCCCCATGCACTCTCCCCAGTGGACCGGAAGAGCTTCTGGTCCGCTTCTGGTCTGCTGCTGAGTACACTGGGGAGCCCCCTGTGCTCCTGTGGGATGCTCCATCTGCCCCAGCATTGCAGCATTCACGAGCCACCTGCTACCTAGAGGTATGTAGAAAAACCATTAAAAGCTGTCTCTCTCTCTGAATACTCGAATCTTTCTGAATCTCTCGGAATCAATTCAGAGGGTTCTGATTCGATTCAGAGAGATTAAAGGGTCCTCTGATTTGATTTGGATTCAGAGATTTGGCCACTGAATCGGGCTGAATCTCTGCCAAATCGAATTAGGGACTGAAGCTTTGCACAGCCCCAGTGCCCACTTTTCAGGGGCTTGAACAGTCAGTGATTCCATGCCTAAGCCTCTTTTTGACTCTTTCTCTAAGATCCTAGTTCAAGGTCACTTAGGTCTAGTTCCTCAAAGGTAGTTGCATGCCCATTGAATTCAGTTTGCATTTGGAGTGGCTAATTTTTGTGAACAGAAACCCAAACTACAGATATAATTTCCTAAAACCTGCTAATGCCCATATGGAAATCAATGGGAGTTAGATACCTAAATATCTTTGAAGAACTGGCCTTAGTAACTCATTGGCAGAGCTGAATTAGAACTTAGGTTTGCCGGTGTCCAGTCTCTTGCTGTAATCACTAGATGACCCAGAAAGGGTCATTCTGAAAATACTCTGCCCACCAGATGCCTCCTGAAGTCGATGGGAATTTAGTGTACAGAATGTTTTGCCAAACTAGGTCTGTAGGCTAAACACTGTGTGTGCAGACATATGTGCATTATAAGGCTTTGAATGTCTGAGCAGCAATATTTGTCACTGTGACTGGCAGATTGTTGGCACTTCATCGATGTGTTAACACAGATTGCTATATCTCTATGTAACAACATCCCCAGATGATCAGTCCATAGGAAACTATGGCCATAGTTTGGGGTGGGAACGTGTAAAATACTAGACAATGTGAGTACATACTTAACATTCCTAATTACCTCCTTCAGTTTCCAGAGATGTCCATATGGTGTATTTCATGAGCACTCAATTCAGGCAGAAATGATTTAAAAGCAGCTTCTTTCACTGTAAGCAGACAACCTCCTTCTCAAGAGCAGGTGTCTTAAAAAAAGATATGTTTCTGTGAAGCTGTGATATGGTCACGTACAATTAACAGGATCATGGTCATGAAAAGGCAGCATTAAATTATGCGGTCTTGACTTTTATCAAGCCCTGCAGAACCCCTGCACATGTCCATGAGATCCAGGACAGCTGCTACAAGGATGACCTTTCATTCAGCACCAGGTGGTCAAAGGAAGAAGGGGCCTCACAATGTGAACTGCCCTTGAATATAGTGGCAGTAGTAGTTTCACAGCTGGCTCACCGAGCCTGTAAAAAGTGATGCAGTAGCAGTTGCCAAAGCTGCTCTTCCACACTGAAGGTAATAGGTGCAGGCTAAAAAAACTTCCTCCATGACTCCAACACAGATATAAATTTAAATCTTGGAGAACTTAGACATAGTTTACATACAGTACTGAGAATAGTATCTCTGTATCACTTAGGGTAGGATTTTGATTTACCATCATATACTGGTACAACTCCTAGAATTAATCCAATTATATGAAACTACTATGGCTGGGTGCATGACTGATTGGATAACACTATACAAAACATTAGTCATCAATAACTGAAAAGTCATGCTGGAAGGGAGTATCAAATAGGTCTTTCCAGGGGTTTGTCCTGGGTCCAGAACTGTTCAATATCCTCCTTAATGACTTGGAGGATGGAATTGAGTGTAAATCTGCAGGTGGCAATTTACTGGATGGGGTAGTAAACACTTTAAAGAATAAGATTAGGACTCAGAATGAGCTTGGGAAGCTGAAAAAATAGTCTGAAGTAAATAGGATGAAACCAAATAAGGACAAGTGCCAAGTCCAGCATTTAGAACAAAACAATCAAATGCACAGATACAAACTAGGGAGTGGCTGATTAGGCTGCAGTACTGCAGAAAATGAGCTGGGGGTTATAGCTGATCACAAGGTGAATATGAGTTAGTGTGCTATTTATTGCTAGGGGACAAAAAGAAAGACTAGTAGCATTCTGAGCTGTATTAATGGATGTGCTGCATAGAAGTCATGAGAAGTGATTCTTCCATTCTGTTCAGTACTGGGTGGGGTATCACCCAGAGTACAGTGTCCAATTTTGGGTGCTACACTTCAAGAAAAATGTGCGCACACTGAAAAGAGTCCAGAGGAGAGCAAGGAAAAGGATTAGAGGTCTACAAAACATGACATACAAGGAAAGGTTGGCAGAACTGGAATTATTTAGTCTACAGAAGAGAAGACTGAAGGGAGGATTTGATGAGTCTTCAAGTACAAAATACATTGTTAAAAAGAGGATGATGATGATGATTTGTTCTCCACAACCTCATAAGACAGGGAAATAAATCATGGACTTAAATTGCAAGAAAGTAGATTTAGGATAAGTATTAAGAACTTTCTAATCCTGGATGTGGTTATGTACCGGAACAAGTTATCTCGAAAGGTTGTAGAATTGCTTTCACTGGAAGCTTTTAAGTGCAGGATGGACAAACATTTGTAAAGAACAGTTTTAATGGGAATGATTCTGCCTTGAACAGGGAGGAGGACTAGATGAGCTCCTGAGGTCCCTGCCAGCCTTATATTTTTATGAGGCTATGTAAGTGATATAAAGGTGCCTGATGACTTGTCTACACATGGAATTATCTCTGTGGAATGGTTCCTGGTTAGCTATCCCTGATTAACTGTAAGTGTGAATACTCTTATTCCAGAATAAGTGTGCCCACACGTGGAGTTATTCAGGAATAGGTGCAGGCTTTACATTTGCACCCTTCCTTAACCCAAATTTACACACACGCAATACTTTAATGCTGGTGTAGCTTAACTGCCTTCCCAGATGTAAATGATTATGCACTTTTATACTGACATAATAAGAAAAGCTTGTGCCACTGCTTTTAGTGTACTGCTATATTCTATGTGTGTGTGAACAAGGTCTGAGTGCTGGGACACAAGTGTGTGACAGTTGCTCTAAATTATGGTACATGATGAAATAATGCAGCAGGAAGCTTGCCCATCCATGGTTAATCCTGCAGTGTATTCTCAAGTGTTTTGTCAAAGCAGGCTCAAGTGATAAGGCTTCCAAATGTTTTCAGCCAATCAAACAGAATAACTTTTTAACAGATATTTTTTTCATGGTCACTTAGATAGGCATGGCCACTTTTCTGCAGCTCTCAAATTACTGATATTGCTGTACGTGAAGGACCTGAGACAGTGACAATGAAAAGGAGCATCATCTGGGAAAAGAAAGTATGTGGAGACTAGTGGTGAACAAAAGAGCGATGAATCAAATAATCAGCTGCTAAGGTTTCTTTCAGGGAAGTGTCCGTTTTTCTTCCCTTAGCAAACCACAAATGGGAAAATCCCAACCATGGCTAGCTCTTGTTTATTTCAATAGGTCTTTCACAAATGTTCAGCCTGATGTTTTTATAGATTAGGCTGTGGGTGAACCTGCTTTTGTTCTGATGTCTTACTAATGAGAAAACTACATAAGTTTATCTGTGACAATCCATATAACAGGATGCTACGAAGGCACTTAGGTCTTTCAAGCCCATATATAATCCATCAGAAAGAGCCAAGTTCTACATCATTGCCTCTTAATGTTGAAATGTAGTTGTAGTCCAGTTTTGTCTCACTGGCACAATTATTCTCTCCCAGGGGAAAAAAGAACCAAAATAAAGGGGACTGTTAAAACCAAAGATGGGGTTTGCTTTATTTTATTTTATTGGAAACTATGGTGCTGCACTGCCAGACTTGACATGAGATTCACAGAGCACAATTTTGTTGTAGCTGAACTGGACGAATCACACTCTTTGTTTTTTTTTTAAATGTATCTCTAATCTCATTCTATTCTCTGGTATATGTGAGACATAAATCTAAGGTATGAAGTTGGGGGTAGTCACAGATGGATCAATCTCTGTTCTACCTGAAATGGTTTAGAACCTCAGAGCTGTTAACTGAAACAGCCCCTGCTGCTAATGAACACCAGCGGTTTGGATGAAGTAGGCTATAGATCCAGGCCAAACCTATTTTTGCAAAACACCCCTCTCCACTCAATTTTCTTCACCCATATGCTGCAGATTTTAACCCTAATCACATATTAGGATCAAACTGAAGGGTGAGTTCACTACAGTTCTCTACATTGTTTTGCAGTTGCACAGGAAGAGGTTATAGCTAAAACATAAACTTGCAAATATTTCTCTGGGGAAAAAGTGTTTTAGGTGCCATTCCAATGACATCTTGCTGGTATGCAGTATTATTTGCATTCACTTTATTCCTCCAACAACTTAAGATAAATTGGCAGCTCCAGTTTTTTTCACTGGGATTTCAATCAGCAGCTGTATAATAGTTCCATACTGCCCTGCATGGGGTATGGAAGTCCTGCCCATGTAATTTTCATTCAAAACAGTGTTCTTGTTGTTCTTCAGTTGTTTTCAGTGGCTGGCTTTTGTGTCCCAGATATACTTCAGAACCACAGCTACAGCCAGCAAAAAGGATTCTGGGAATTTTAGATGACTGCTCCTTGTAACTGAGATACAAGAGCCCTTTAATTTAAGAAGAAATAACATAGGTGGATGACCAGATAAGCTGAAAGGGGAAAAGAGGCACAGAATAGTGTCAGAGAAGCCTACTTGCTTCATTATATAGGATACCAATGTACCTTGGACCCTAAATGTTTGGTAGCAAAATTCCATCTGGAATAGGATCCAGTCCTTAGCTGAAGGGCTATGTTGCTAGTTCTAATTCTAAATGCAATGCAATGAGAAACTACTTAGCTGTTTTTTGTTATAGCCACAAGTTTGAGTTCTTATTCAGCTTCAGTTCCTTACCCATTTTGGTAGCAGAAGCCTGGGCACCGCTTTTTGCCAAGCTCAGTTGTTCTGCAGGATAGGCAGTACTGTTTATGCATATTGAAACCAGAGAAGTGTGAATCTTGGTTTTGCTTTTCAAGGATTCATGCAAATATTTCCTTTAGATTCTGGTGTATGTGGGTTGGTGCCTTTCCAAACTCTACATCTTGAGTTTTGCTTTGTATTCAGCATCAGACGGATTCAAAATCTCAAAATAAAAATCAGTGGAATTCAGACATAACCCAGTGTCCATGTCAAATTGCACCTTGCTTCTGATTCCCACATACACATTGTCTCACTTTCACTCAAATGGTTTGAAAATTTTCATGGGCCTTTGGACATGTCTGATATGAGTTTGTAAGAACATTTCATTGTGAAATTTGTGGTTCATGATAATAAAAACAAGAAAAGAAACCCTCGGCTCAGGAAGTTGGTGATTGGGCAAAATCTTGGTTCTTAACCTGAGGTAAGCCACCCCTTCCTAAACTATTGCTTGAAGTATACTGAAGTAAGGAATAACCATGGCAGATGACCTCCAGCATGAAGAGCAGGTGACTATATCCTCAAAATCATTATTACAGTTAATTTCATACTAGTTATCACAATAGATCGGCTAACAGCTGTCTACTGAGTTATTTTATTAGCCTAGGAGTGATTATTCTTTAGCTCAGTTTTGAGGTTTGGTAGAGTAAGGTGTGGCTTCTCTTTCCTGGGTTACAAGCAAGACTGTCATGAAAAACTCTCACCACCATGATCACTGAACATGCACTCTCTCCCTCAGTCCTGCCTTTCAAACAAATGGAAGGCTGAGGCAAGTTTATTTTAGACATAACTCCACTGACTTCATTCAAACTTCCTCCAGGTAAATTTGGCCAGCACTTTTAGTTATTTATTTGCTGTGGCCTGTTGTGCTCCATGTACTTGTGCATGCCTGTGCCCCCATACAGGCACAAACACATGCATGCACATGTATACACACCTGCATGTGCACGTGCACATGCATGCATACACACACACATGCACGCATGTGCAGCAAAACAAAATGTTCTAAGAAAATCAAGATGGCAAATGAGAAATGACGGTGGCCAAATTAGATTGCCATCACTATTTTGTTGCTATTAGTAACTGTGGCTGTTTGAGTGTCTGATGTAAACTCTCCATCTTTGCATTGCTATCACCATTTTAAAATAGGATTGCCCTTTGGGACCTTTGAAAAGGTAAATGCTTTGTATGGAACAGAATACTTTCACCTGCTCCTGGGTATTTGGAGTCTTCTGGCAAATAAGAATGCTATTTTTCTTTTGAAAGGGGTTTGCAGGGAACGGGATAGAGCATGGCTGGAGTGCACTGCCCTGTAGTGATCATCAACCAGAATTACCACACTTCGGGAAAAGATTCGAACTGGCAGAGATTACAGAATCCCAGAGGCTGTTCCATGTTTTGCTGGGAAGATTGGTTCCCTTTCTCCCGCTACCTGGAACTCGAGCAAAGGTGAAGCTATGGCTTTGTATCTTTCCTCTACTGAAATAAAAGTCAACATGTGTGCATCTCTGCTGGTCCACTTTTTAGGAAGAGAAGCTGCCTTGTGACATGGGGAGGGCCAGAGTGGATGATCTCATGGACCCATTGGACAAAGTATTGCCTACAAACTCTGGAGACTGGACTTGATGGCCCAGGAGGCTTTTTCTAGACCTATGTTGCATATGTTGTGTTTGGTACCAGATGTGATATAACTGAAAATAGACAATGATAATATATGGTATAAAAATAATTGCTATTGGCAATGCTTTGAGGCCATTTTCTGGTTCATTAACTCTTGACTGAGGTTACTAATCAGATCACAATGTTTGCTTTTTCAGAACCTCTCTCCTCTCCAACTTCCTTTTAAAGATTTGTTTTGGCTTTACCTTTTCTCTCATTTGTAAGATGATTAAGATGTTACTTTGGGAATGTTTCTCTCTGAAAACAATTGCAGTGTGTGGTCTTTCAGTCACAAACCACGCCTTATTTGGTACTGACATCAAGACTCCCCATAATTATCTCAGAAGAGTCTTTTCCAATGCACTGAGATTTCTGTGAGATATCTCATGGAGTCATGCTACTTTTAAACAAGGCAAGAAAGAGCTCTGCTACAAAGATGTTTGTTCAAAACTCCACTGAGTAACCTGCATGGTCTAAAAAACATGTAATAACATTTATGCAAAGCAAATGTGAGACTCAGTTGCAACATTGCACCCTAATGTAATTTGTGCAACAGTGTGGTCTGCTTGTAACTTGTGCAATTTCACTGAAGAAGAGTGTTCACATTATATGCATTATTCTGTAGTACACTATGTCAAGGCTGAATTACTCTTACATTTATAAGGTATGCATTCTCCAGTTAAACAGGTAACAATGTGTCTCATGCACCTAGATTTATTATTGCATCTTTCACTAATTCCAAGTATGCATCTGCTGACCATAATGGCCTGGAATTACTGTCAAAGTCAAACCACCTAACAGGCTGGCACAGTTAAGGCACCCAAGGCATGCGGTGATTAGCATCACATCCAACTGCCTCTGGCTCCCCAAGCTAAATTAGCAGCTATCTATTTATAGCTTTGTGAACTGGAGGTGTCTTGCAGCCTGAGGGCCTCAGACTCATGCCTCTTAAGCCACAGGAAGCTTTCTTACCTCATCAACTAATGCTTTTGCTAAATTATTCACTTAGACATGGCACATCTTTGTGACTGACTATTGCCGGTGTTGTTTTAATTCAGCCGGTGAATGATAAATTGCACTTGACCTTGGCTTTGAGAGACATCTATTACATTCTGAAAGCTCTCCCTTTCACCAGTTTTACTTCTTGCCATGCAGCCCCTCTGCTTATGGCCAGAAGCATGCGTTACCATCATGGGAGGATCTAGAATTTTGAAAAGAGTGGGGCACAGGGTGAGGTGCATCATCATGTATAAAACAACACACATTTTTCTCTAGTTAAAAATAACTAGAAGCTTTATTAATATTCTGGGGGCCTACAGCTGTATGATTCAGTTTAAGACTGAAGTAAAACAAATATAACTTAACTGGAATGAGTTAAAAGTAATCTGCAGGGCTGTGAAAGAGGAGCTTCATTACCATGAGCACCTAACAGACAGCAGAATTACAAAAGAAAGGGTAGCTTGATTGGTGGACTATCAAGACCATTAAAAGGAAGAGAGGATCGTTAACACCTATGGAATAAAAAGTTTAGAAGGGTTTAGGTAGATGATAATGAGTCATGAAGTCAAATAACTCCCTCACTGCTGCCACTGCCAGGCAGTTGGTTTTAAACTTTGGGTGGAGCAGGAATCAAAGGGGTGCAGGTGCCTCAGTGCACCCTCCCTCAATTGTGACAAGTAAACTTGTCACAATTGTTAGATTGACATGAATACATAAAGCAGATAACATTTCAGTGATAAATTTGGTAGGATTTTTCCTTCAGGTCTATTAGAGATGAAACAAGCAGGTTTCTCTAGAAATCAAATAGAATTACTCTAAAAAAGCCACCATGTTCAGTAGAGAATAAGCTCCTTTTTATAGAATTTTAAACAATCCTGTAGAATCTCACAGACAATAATAAATTTGATGGAAAATGCTATAGTCAGTTCAATATACTGTAGTAAGTTATTGTTCCTTTAGGCAGTTCCATAAAAGTAGCAAACCTAGTGTGGATGTCTTTTAATATATTGCAGTCACTTCAGTACAGACATACCCTTCAAATCATACCAGAACAGCTAAATAAAAGCAGTCCAGTTTTCAGAAGTGTTGAGTAGCTGCGGTAAAATAAATGGGAGTTGTAGCTGCTTAGTATCTTCTTGAACAAAGCCACTTTATAGGATAATGTTAGTGCCTAACTTTGGACACCTCTGTTTGCACATGTTTTGCTTATAACTTTTGCTATTGTTGTGCCCGATCCTGAAATCCTTTGCCCTTAACCAAACAATATCACCTGGCTAGCATTTTGTGATCCGACTGTTCTTCTTGACTGGAATTTGGAGTGTGCAGGAGTTTAGTTATAATTTCAGTAGCCTGTAAGATTAATGAAAGCCCATGCAACGTAAGGTGTTGGTAGTTTAGTTTGCACTTCATCTCCAATATGCTAAATCATGTTGGGGTAGTTGAACCCCCCCCATCAATGTGAACCTGATTGCTTAAGTTCCTATTCAGAAATAATCCTCCAAAAAGGAAATTAGTCACTCACTAGTTTTCATCTCTTCCTTCTCATTTTTAATCTTTAATATTGTTTAGCAGACTTCAGTTTTAGTTCCTTAAAATTGAACATACTTAGTTCTCTTTTCCTTTAATTTATGTGTTTACTATAAGATACCATTAACTGTATGAAGGCTCAAAGTTCATATTTTCCCGCCAAAAATCCTCAGAGTAGGTTCCTCTTCTTTTTTGTTGTCCTTGTAGATATATCAGAAGAGAGAAGTAACAGTGTTGGCCTGATTCTTCCCTACCTTGACCTTTTGCAGTCATTCCTATTTGGCAAAAAAATATGATCATTATGTTTTAGGTAGTGTTTTATGCCCAGGAAAAATGGCGACAATAGGTGCAGGAAGAATCATGATCTTAGTGTTAGATTATGCTCTCATAACAGGGCCTACATGAAAAAGTTCTACTGCTTTGAAATATTCCACCATTTTCAATGATATTTGCTGTCTATGTGGAATTTCTATTAGAAAAGGTAGAATTTTTCAAAATGATGCATGCCTCTGACAGTGCCACTGGCTGTAACCAATGAGTCTCTGTATCACATTGTATGGGAAATAGTGGAAACTGAATTCATCCATTCTCTTGATTTTCATACTTTGCCATTTCTCCCCCACTTATCCAATTTCAGGAGGTGGGTGCTCTTACATGGCTTTTGCAACTGGGATTAGAGGAGAAGTATGGAAATAGATTTCAAAGACTGGAACGACTGGTTGGGTTAGGCAGCTGTGGATAATAGGGTTTCACCACACTGGGGGACTGTTGGAGAGTTCCCTGGAATGTGAGATCAAGGCCCAAATCCTCAAAAGTACTGAGGTACTACCTTCCATCTAGTTGATGTAGTTAGGTTTCTCAATAGTGGGCCCAAGCCACTTGTGGAAGAAGTGCAGGCAGGTTCTTACAGTGACAAGTTGCCTCTCCTATGTTGACATTGCCCTGTTTATCACTACTATGTGCAGTTCAAAACCTCTGAGTCATGACTCAGGGCCACAAGTACCGTGGGAAAGTGAGATACTCTGCTCGATCAGTTCTCTTTGTTATTGGTCACTTTCATTTTTAGGATGGATGACCGGAGGTATAGGGAGTCTGCATGAGAATTTCTTGAGCCTTTTCTCAGAAATGAGTGAAATGCCACTTAGACCTCTGCTGATCAGTATAGGTGTTAAAAAGATCTGGAGGTAGAATAGGACAACCAAGTGCAGGGCAGGTGCAGACTTCTGGGTTAGGGACAGATGTTACACATAAACTGGTTTAAGTGATCAGAAAGTGGTTTAAACCTGCAACAGAACAGAAGTTCGGTGCACCTAAACCAGTCTGAAAATGGCTGAAACTGATTTGAGATAAACCTGGTTGAATGTAGTATCAGATTTAACTGATTTGGGTCAGACTGGTTTATGCAATGTCTGTCCCAAACCCCTTCCTGGTTTAGGTTAAACCAGTGTCCCCCAGCATCCCAGATGCTTTGTGGAACTATCTGCTGAAGCAGAGCAGGGTTGGCCCTGCCCCTCTCCTTCTTAGCCAGAGCACTATCACTGCTCCAGATGGTTGAGGGACTGCAGCAGCTGCCAGGCTTCCCTATCGCCCTCCCTCCCCACTGGCTGCTCGAGCAGGGATTCCCCACTCCTGCCCCTCTCCCATTGCAGGGACCCCAGGGCAGGGACCCAGCATCAGGTCATGTTTCCCCCACCCTCATGCTAGCTAATGCTGAGAGGTGTCTGTGTGGGTCTCCAGTTCCACTGGAATAAAGGCAGACAGCTAGTGGCTTGCAAATGCAAATGCACCCTGCAGATAAGAAGAGCTTGAAACTAATGAGAGAGATGCTTTCTTGTGGAGGGCTTGATGGGCTGATAAACTTTGTTCTGACAAACAACCTGCTGGGTGCAATTTGTCAGTTTTCAAGAGGGAACAGAGAAAGGTGTTAGAAATGATCTGGTTTGCAGACAGTACGAAGAAGCTGGGAGACAGAGACTGAAAAGCGCAGTATCAACAGATGCAGGGTCTAGCAACATTCCCGCTCTTTGAGAGCCAGCAGGGAAAAGCCTGGTACTGCAGGCCAGGGTGAGGGTTAAAATCCCTCCCTAATCAGAGCATTCTGATGGGGCCTGACCATATCCCCCGCAAGCTCAGCACTTAGGAAGGGAAGGAAGGGCTGCTCTAGCACCCTCCGACTTCTGGCCTGAGCCATTGCAGGCATGTGCTTGCATTTCTGGAATGAAAAGGAAATGTCTATCCACCACCAAATCGGTTCAAGATTTGCA